GCCTTACTTTTTCGAATAAACTTTGCCACCATTGTTTGCATTTTTGCCCAATTCTTTGTTTGAGATGAGAACTTGGAAACCTATAGGAGATGCAAGCACCATAAAACCCAGTAACTTTCATTTGGTGAGCCACTTTTACAAAGAGTCTACCCAGTTGGGTGTGGTGGCGCACACCTGTAGTCTCAGCACTCAGGAGGCTGAAGCAGGAGGATCACTGAGACTTTGAGGCCAGCCTGAACTGCATACTGAAACCCTGGTTTAAAAAAAAAATAAACCAATTGCAATCACCACTATCAGTCCTTAAGATAATTTTTCTAAATACAGACTTGGAGATTTTTTTTATTTTGGGTTTTTATAGCCACTTCATTGGTTAAGACAAAGCCTCATCAGTCTTGTTAATTAGGGTGCTCATCCTCAATTCTATGGCTATATTATTATTATTTTCTAAGTCCTTAAATAATCCCTTATCATGCATTATTTCCCAGGATTTTTCTTCTTCAATTTCTTCACTGCTACTCCTGTGCCTCTTGGTGGGTAACTGTCAACATCTATAGAATCTGTTTCACCTGGCAGCTTGTCCGGTGCCCCTGAAGCTGGAAAGTAATAACATGTGCAGGACGAAGCCAGCCCGAGAACACGGGAGCTCCTCGAAGCACGTAAACAAGCCGTTGTAGCTTGTTCACTGATTGCTGGGCAGTGAGGTTGAAATCAGCCTCCCTCGCGAGGGTATAAATAAATGCTCCACGGTACTTGGGTGGCTTTCCCTTCTCCACTCAGAAGAGGGGCTCTTCACCTGATCCCAGCTTTTTGTCTCGTCTAATTTTTCCTCGTTCTCACGGCTGTTCCTTCCTGGGGTACAGCAAGAACCCAGAGGATCCCTAGAGCAGCTGTCCTCGTATCAAAACCAGACGACAGTGCTTTGCTGGCTTGTACCATCTTCTGTTAACCTGCACCAGCATCGGTTCAGTGCTGTTCCTTTGTGGCTGTGATAGTTAACTGTTGTGTCAGTTTGAGTGAGAAATAACTGGCTTAGCACAGTTCTGGGTGTGACTGACTGGATTTACTGAAGATGGAAGACCCGCCCTGGGTGTGAGCTGCAGGGACAAAAAGGGAAAAGGCAGGCTCACTTGTTTCTTCG